TGTATGTATGTATATATATATGAATGTTAAAGACGAAAAAAACCCAACCATACAAAAGAGGGATAGAAGAGAAGTTGGACTCAACAGTAGCGCCCTCCTACCAACCTCTGTCTCTTCTCATATGGTGAGAGGTTGATGAAGTACATGTTGCAAAAACAACTAATAAATAACATTTAAACTTATAAAATTATATAATCCATTCAATATGTTATTTAGAAATGGTTATATATGTGTTTTCTGATGGATGGAACTAAATTTTGGACCAGGGATGACTTTTTAAAACCTTTTAACCCTGTTGCTCAACAATAGCTATGCCAACATGTGGGACCTTTTTCCAAGCACACACACCAACACACACACACACAAACACACACACACACACACACACACACACACACACACACACACACACACAAACACACACACGCACATTTGTTCGGAATGCCGAAGATTAGTTGTGTTACTGGAGAGTAACGTATTAGGAAAAGAAGGATGAGAGAATCAGATAAGGATGATAGATATTTGAAAGGAAAGAAGGAGAACCCCACACACCAGGGCACCCGCCAATCACTGTCCATTATGAAAAGCGATAGAGGTAGATTGGAAGGCGCCGTTTATAAGTCCAACCTCTTTCCTGTCCCTCTTTCGTTTCTTTTTTTCCCCGTCTTTTGAACGTATTTTTCCCAACTCTGTATTATGGCCATGATTGTGCCAACGGGCAATTTTTTGGTTTTGGTGAGAGTTTTACGGCATTTGTAACCCAATTAGGTCACATAAGTGCTGGAGATCAGAAGTGTTATAAGAGAGTAACACACGCAAAAAAAAAAGATGGAGGAGAGAAAAGGACGATAGATAATAAATGTTTGATTACTGATTGGAAAGAAAGAGACTACACCAGAGCACCCACCAACCACCCACAGCCACTATTTACCCAAACACATGAGACAGGATGAGATAGAGGGATGAGACATGAGGTATGAAATGTGGCGAAATGAGACAGGATGAGATGAGATTAGAAGTGAAAAAAAACCCCTGAGAGAAGGCCGTGTGACAGTGACATGATTTGAAATGAAAAGATGTGTTATATTATAGGATCAAATGAGAAGAAATAATGTGACGTAGGATGAGTTTATGTGAATTGAGGAGGAAGATAGAAGGGAAAGTAGAGAAAGTGGCACTAACGTTCAAATTTATACCCCCCCCCTCTCTCTCT